TAAAGAAGGACCCCACTGAATTCAAAGGCAAAAAGAATATGAACTCGTCCCGTGACAAGCCAGGCGGTTAGGAGGGAGACGCCGAGACGTACGAGCTTCAGCATGGTTTTCCGCGCACTTTCTATCTCTTCTGGAGGTGCCGGAGAAGATTGAGGTGTTGCCTATAGAGAAGGCTTTGGATGCCTTGACTTACGTCGAGGTGGAGCTTTTCGGCTGACCATGAGACTGTGATGGAAATCCATATAAACGGGGTAGAGTCGGGTAGAGTTAGGAATCCCGGAAGATGAATGCAAGCTACGTACGATTTTGGGGCGCGGGTCAAAGCCGCCATGTTTAGCAGGTGATCCAAAGTAGAAAGTTACACTGTTATGGAGAAAAAAATAGCTCAAGATAGTCGAGCAAAAGGTCGACTGCCAACCTACACTCAACTTGGTGTGCAGGTCGAGGTGCCAACAATGAAGAGCACACCCAAATATTGCTTAAAGTCACTATAGTGACATCTAATGACTATATAGTGCCTCCCAAGGAAGCAGAATGCTCATTACTTTCACGACTTGAAGACCACCAGTGACCTTTTGCATCCATTTTGGGGTTTTCCTTGTAGCCCTCGATCCTTTGACTACTCCGGTCCAAGGTTTTGCAGCCCAAAGGATACCACGCGCTGCGTGAAGGTTCTGGCGTTGGTGGATACTGGATCCAACGATTGTGATTTGAAGGGCTCATTGATCGACCCTTGGCTTCATGACTTGCGCTTCTAGGTTGGAGGCCATTGCTATTTTGGTTGGAGGCCATCGCTGGTAGAGAGATTAGAAAGAAAGAAGAAAGAAAAGGAAGAAAGATGAAGAAAGGTCTAATAGTCTAATACAGTTCCCAAAACGACTTGCCGAACGCCTCGAAAGAGCTGAGAAGTTGAGGAAGAGCTGAGATTACCCATCGCTCGACGAGGCGGCACTTCGGTTGAGACGGCCGCCAATCGAGTGGACACCTGGCGCAGAGAAGAAACTGGATTGGTTTGACGCAGAAACCCAGAACACCCCTTGGCCCTTGGCTTCTCCCTGCCTGTGTTTGTTTGGGGCAAAGGTGGAGATATCCATCTTCCAGGCGCGGCACGCGATAGGCGACGGGAACGTTTGCCTCCACACCCAATTGCAACAGTTTGTGATTTACTGTATATGTTTTTCCCTTAATAATCTCAAGCATCTGAGCTCAGGAGTCAGATGCTTTCCCGGCTCACTCCATCTCACTCCCAGGCCAAGCTCAAAGTCCTCGGGAGGGAAGCCATTGTGGAAGTAAGCCCGGCAGATGAGGACTATGCTGCAATTGGAGGCGCTTGATGTTTGGCACTTTACCGCCAACATGTCAAAGCTCTACTTGAAGCACTCGTAGTGGCAAAGAACATAAATCTATAGAAATCTATCGTGGCCCAGTTTGAGATGTTAAACCAAACATTACGAGCACACTCTAGGCGCAGTGTCCGATGCAGCTGCAAGATACTCAGAAGCTGTTGTCAGTGACTGCGTGTGACATCATGTGACTCATAACATATGTTTTGTGAAACTGAACGGTTTACGGGATATATTATTATATATATATAATGACTATTTGTTTGATTCGCTCGCTGTAGGCAAAAATGGGGAATACACTTGACCGAGAGAAAACCTTGGGGACAGCTCAGAACCTAGGAGGATGACGTGGACAAAGAGTTTGGTTTGAGTACTACAACCGATGAAGCTGTGATGCTCGGATGCGCGCTGTGTCATAGAGCTTAAGACAAGTTTGGTGGTTAAGCCACATGACACCTGGTGGGTTTTGCAAGAATTGCTGTACTCGTACTTGCCACTAAGGATTGGAGCAGATGCTCTCGCATCCCTTGGGCTTATCGTTGATTGCAAGCACCGCCGCTTGTTGACCGATGACGGGTGCGGAGCTGAAGATTTCTGCGCCGCACAGTGATAGGAATCTCACATAGCCATAGCGAAATGTTGAGCATAGAATTGCACCACAAGAGGAAAACATCATTGCACATTGTTTGGACAGTCATCGGGCACCACGTTGTCAATTTTTGTCAATATCATCATCTCACATCCACCGTTCTCAGCTCCAAAGGTTGCCCAAGATGCAAAGGGTGGGTGCCAGCCCTCGCGTCGGACGGAGTCATTGCATTCACGTGTCCCGTCGGACGGAGTGGGGAGGCTTTGTTTTTATTCTGGACCGTTGACCAAATTGACGCCATGAACGACCCCTGAGTTCATAGTTTGCATGGTTTTTCTTTTCACGCGTGGTCGCTTTGGCGGAGCACTGCTCGTGAGGTAAATGTGCGGTTCTCCAACCCTATGACCAAAAAGGCGGGGACTGCCCTTGCGAAAACGTAACGGCTTGTACAGACAAAGGCCGCTCTATGAACCTTTCTGCAAAGCGGTCACCTTCAAGGAAGGAAGCTCATGCATCGCCACAGGAGATTTCAGTGAAAGCTCTTGTGGACAGTGGGTCTACAGATGTTGATCCTCAGACTGCACATGAGGCAAGATCGATAGTTTGCAGTTTTTGGTGCTGAAGTAGTTTGAAGGTGATGTCAGGTCGAAGCCGTTTGATGACTCAAAAGGTGTCATACCTCATGTTTTTCGACCTTAGGATTTGCAGCAATCTAAGATCAATGCATTGGATTTGGTCGTGGATGAGTCTGAGACATTGCTGCAACAAATTCGAGATCCATTCGACCCTCTAGCAGTTTATCACGCTTTCTTTCATGGGCACATGGCTGACTCCCTTTGATGTTATTTCCTGGCAACATGTCATACACGCCTACCGACTTATCCGGCAGCCTGGGGTAAGGGGCCGCGGCCTCGGGAACTTTTGTGGGTAAACTCTCGGTAAACCAAACAAGCATAAGCTTGTACTGCTTTGAGGAAATCCCAGCGTTGTTCGAAACGGCTGGTGGTGTAACAACTTCTGCACCAATTTACTGGGCGACTGCGCAGCTCGGAGAGAGAAACTTGGCAGACTGGCAAGGCGTCAAGGGCTCTTGCGATAGCCGGCACAAAGTAGTATACATATGTATACATGAACAAGATTCGTCCCTTGTGAGCATTCCTATTGCAGCACATTGTAGCAGACAGAAGCTCCCTTTTCTGCGTACGATTCAGACAGCTCTTGGCAGACAAAAGTGGCCGATCACTCAGAACACATGCACTCACAAGGAAGAGCACCCGTGCGGTTAAGTCCCTCGCTCGCTGAAGATGATGAAACTGATTCCGACGAAGAAGAGGAGGAGGTGCATTTTGGCGACAACATTTGTGGAGGGTGATTAGGGTTGAAGTTCCACAACTAAACAACTTTGTATACCTATTACTTTCCACAACTAAACAACTTGTTTGGCCTGGATGTTTCATCGTGGATCAGGGCTTGATAGGTTTGCAACTTCCGACATCTTCCGACTATCCGTCGTCGATGTCCTTCGTTTTAAGTTCACGCGTTGAAAGGCTGGGATTCGTTTCCAGGACAGTGACGAATCAACTTCTACTGCGGAGGGTGATGAAGAAGAAGCCTTGCTGGGGCATGATGCAGCCTGACTGAGCTTTGGTCCGGCTTGATTGATGTTCGAAGACTAGTTGTTTGGTGCGTTCAGGCCTTGGCTGCGTTGAACATCTTGGTGGACTGCAAAAATCGATGCTTGCTACTGGCACCTGAGAAGGCAAGGCGAGAAAAGGATAACACAGCTAGTCAAAATCCTGACCTTCAGATGTGGCTGAGGTGGATCCACACATTTCTGAGACACATTCCAAGCAGGGTATGCAGAAGCGGCGTCGCCGAGAACGATCTGGGGAAGAATAGTCCGAAAAAAAGCGTGTGCTTCTGAGGGCAAATGTTAAGCGCCCCCTCGTTTTCAGGAGTTGCCTCTTGTTTTGCATATGGGGTGTTACCACCTGTTCTTTGTCCAATGGACTCATGTTTTGTGTTTAGTCTATATAATATATGTCTATATTATATAGTCTTTATATATATATACGGTATATATTGTTGTTTCTATCACGTCACTGGCAAAGTAACTCGTTTTTTAAAGTGACCTATCGCTACAATGTATTGTGCCCGGGTGTTGTAAGGCCAGTCTACCATGCTTTTCTCCCAAAAGAGAAGACACCATGATTCAATGAAAAATTGAAAATACATTAAAAGCAGAGTTGTGTGAGCCCCCCCCAAACCTATGTATTCTACTTTCTATTTCTACACCCTATCAGTGTGGCTGCGATGTCAACTTCACCCCATGAAAGTACTCTTTGTTTGCCCGATGTTACCCAATCACTTCCTCTTGCACGCCAAGTCTTTGCCCAGGCTTGCCCTGAGGGCACCCCCTAACCCAGAGGCTGGCTTTCGTCCCCTCCCTTCTCAGGTTTGATTATATAATCAAGTGTTTTTCTACGGCCCACTACAATTCAGCGTGCTCAAATTGTGCAGGGACTGTTTACAATCCATTCCTCCCAAAAGAACAAGCACCAACTGAAGAAGCAATGCAGGAACAATTATAATTACAACAAAAGCCAGGTAATTCCTTCCAGTTGCCTAGTGTCCCAACTCACCTTCTACAAACTTAAAGAAGCTATATATAGACGTTGAACTACACCGTGGGGTTGCTTTCTTCATCCTTGTTGAGCGCAACGCCAAAAGAACAGGCCTGAAACTTGCTGAATACAATTCACAAAACGATTGCAACAAGAGCTACTGTAATGTTTACGTTGCGCGAATGTTTAGCTCACGTGTGGAGCGCGCACCATTCCACCGGAGAATCAAAAAAGTCATAGTGAATTCTCTCAAACTCGGGTTTTCGCTGAGGACCCCTTCGTCAGTGGCGTATTTTTCACCCTTTTGAACTGAATAGTTGCAGCAGGACTGCCTGGTGGAACCCCCTTCCTAGTGATTCCTAGTGCCGGCCTCATCAGATAGCCACCATGGACCAGGACCTGCATTGCTTTTAATATAATCCGTTTAATCTTTTGCGCGTTTGCAGCGTTTTGGCTTGGCGACTGGGCTTGCAATTGTCAATGCATTCGCAAATTGCGGAGGGGCAAGAAGCAGTTTTTCGGTATGGCCGTCGCTTGAAGACATGGGCTGACAACAGCTCTTTCTGGCATCCGCGACTCTGGTGCTTTTTGGTTGGCCCGGTCATTCTGACAACTGTTTTGTTGGCATTGACTGTGAATCTCTTTTGGAAACACAGCTTTGATGAGGGCCTGGCCCGGCAAGAAGAAGCTGATACGACGATTTTCGAGAATTTCAACAATTCAACCACAGATGCCTGGCAAAAGTTTTCCTATGTGTTCCTCAGTTTTCACAAATCCTTGCATCGCTCAGACATGAGATGTGACCAGATTCAAGAGAAACCTTCAAAATCAGTAGCACTTCAGAAGCGTATGCCAGAATCTGCCCTCTGAGGGGGCGCTATTGCTAGGGAGTGTGTTTGTGTTCCCGAGGACATTCTGACCCATTTTGCACATCAGCTGCAAGCGTCTACGGCTTTGTCAGCTATGGAAAGCGTTTCACGATACACTGGCAAGCCTGCACTTGTAGCAGATATCAACTCAGATTACGTATTTTGGCTGGAGTGCTGACACCTGATTAAGAGACCTCCTGTAAAACAATCCTTGTTCGACAGGTGACATTTTGAGAGGGAGACTTTAATCGGGTGTCACCACCACAAAGTCATGGTATGTTTGTTTTGCTGATTTGTTTCATGAATGCTAGCTGCTAGCTTCGGAAGATGCTTCAATCAGCCAGGTTCAGTCCCTGTCCCCCTTTCTCAGCAAGTCAGAAGAGCTCAACTGGATTCTGCACAGATGTTGGATGGAATTGACACAGTTATTTCCAGAAGTGGACTACATCTATTATGGTGATCGCTTTGGCACCTTCCTGGGCTATGAGCGCCTTCCTTTGAGCTTTCTTAATGAGACCCATGGTGACCCCACTGTTTTCGGAGGAGAGTTTCGTGCACCGGATGGAACCGCCGGAATGCAGATGTGTGACTTGTGCCCGCCTGCGGACGCCGTGAAAGAAGGGGAGAAGACCTACTACTTTGTGAATCACAAGGGCCAGTTCATCAAAGCCTACAAAACGCATGGGTATGACCCCCGAAAGCGGCCTTGGTACGAAGCTGCAAAGGAAGCCAAGGGCGAGTTGGTGTGGCTAGACATTTACAGTCACAGTAGCGGCCACACCTTGGGCATGACAGCAGCCAAAGCCATCACTTCGAACAACGAAGTGGTGGCAGTTGTTGCGGCTGACTTTACAATTTCATACTTCAGTGGCTTCTTGAAGTTGGTAACTAGGATGATTTCACAAGAAGAAGGCTTGGTGGTCAAAAGCACTGTTCAAGCAAGGCCCCCTCAACGCGCAAGGGTTTAAAGATGCGCAAATTGAAGTATAGTAGGTGAGTAGGGTGACTCACTCAACACTGGAAGGCTTCATCATCGACTTCAAAACCGGGTTGATGGTGGCAAGTTCATCAGGGATTGGCCAAGTAGCAAAAAAGATTGTTGATCAGGGCCTGGAAGCGCAGGTCAGATTTTCTTGGAAGCAAGTTGATGCTAGCGAAGTGCAAGCTCCGCTACGAAGCCTGGCCTTTCCAGTCACCTTTGTTCGGTTTCAGCTTTGGACTTGCAGCTGCCAACATGTGCCAACTATTGCCAACTAGAGGGAGTGCGCTTTAGGTTATATAGTTGGAATCCAGAACTTGCATTCAATTCCTTTATATATTGGACTCCAGAACTTCCATGTTTTGGACTCTCCACTCTTAGGAACCTTGCTGGGCATATATGGTTCCCTTGACAGACTGCCTCGAAATGGAACCATCAACACGACCGACGGAAAGTTCTTGTTCACCTTCACGCAGGGCCTCCCTGGAAGCTTTCAGGCAGGTTAGGCTGACTTCAATGACCACACTTGTTTCAGTGGCACCGGCAGTTCAGAACGCGGATGGCAGATGCTGCTCTTGACCCAAGTCGGGTTGAGAGCTTCTAATCTATAGCGTGCTTGAACATAAGTGGAGATGAGGTGAAGGTGCTGTTTTGGCCTGCGGCATTTTGTTTTGACTTGCAGCTTGAATCACTGCCGTAGACATGGACATGTATGGCCGGTATAGCCGGGGTGGCTGTGCAAATTCATTTTTCAATTTTCAGCATATGCGACTGATGACGGAGGCTAAGCAGCACTGGTTGGTGGTGGTCACCTGCCCGGTGAAAGCCTTCATGGAGAAGTCCTGGGAGCAACAGGCCTGGGCTGAGCAGCGCAGTGCCCAGGTGCGTCAGGAGCTCCGCACCGATCTTGCAGCCCAAGAGGTGCCCAGTTCTCGGAGCGATCGAGCGGCGCGATCTCGGAGCGATCGAGCAGCGGTTCGGATTCCGGTGGGAATCGACCGGAATACGGTGGTGACCGTGGTGACCTACATGCAGGACACTGTAGGATGTCTTGAGGTCTCCTTGTAGCAGGACATTCTAACGCACAATGCCGAGACTAGGAGGGCCCGTGAAAACACTCCTGCCGTATGGTTTTATAGGATTTTATAGGCTTCTTTGCAGTATGATTCAATTTTGTTTTTCCATGTTGTTATCCTTGAAGTTGAGGCAGTGGTTCATTCGAGGCTTGTAATTACAGGTGATTCCTCCTGTTCACCTGTTGGTTTGGTTGGTTTCACTGATGTGCAAGAACTGAGGTGAATACCATTTGGACCTGTGTCACATTTACATTCCTGGGTGCTTTGATCATGATTTGTATTGGCCTGGCGGTGACACGGCCGCTGAAACGGATTTCCACTGAAATGCTGTCAATGGCGAAGCTCGAGTTTCTGCCTCAGGATCCCTTAAAGGCAGAGATCGGAGCAGGCAAATCCTTGCGCCGCAGGAGTTCCACCAGCTTCGTGAGCTTGAGATATGTCGGGCGGCTGATGTCCACCTTGACGGGTAGCGTCAAAAGGGAGGACACTGAGCCTGGCAGCAGCAGCTCCAGTAGTAGCGGAAGTGACACTGATAGCCAGGATGAAGCTGACTGTTCCCTTTACGTGGAGGAAGGTGGAGGGTGCTGGACCCATGCTACTCCCAAGGAAGTGATCAATATTCGAGAGGCATTTATTTATATGGTGGCTGGCCTGAAGTCCTTTGCCAGATACATGGATCCAGAAATCATGCGAATTTTGGTGAAAAGTCGACGTCAGGCTCAGCTTGGCATGGGGAAAGCAGAGGTCACTGTTTTTTTCAGTGACATTGCCAACTTCACAACAATAGCAGAAAGCCTGGAGCCGGAAACATTCATGTCAATGTTGACTGAATATTTAGATGAAATGAGCAAGATCATCATGGCAAAGCGTGGGGTGGTGGGGGAGTTTATCGGAGATGCCATCATGGCATGGTGGAACGTTCCCATCAACCTAGGGCAAGAACATACAGCTACAGCATTAGATGCAGCTTTGGCACAACAAAACCGCTTAGCGGAGCTTCGCGAGACGTGGCACTTGCAAAGATTGCCTGATGTGAGGGTTCGCATGGGTTTGGTCAAAGGCAACGTGCTTGCTGGAAACATTGGCAGCTCTCAAAGGATGAAATATGGTTTGGTTGGTGACAGCGTGAACTTGGCCTCGCGTTTGGAGGGCCTTTGTAAGTACTACGGTGTTAGCATCATAATTGAACAAGATGCTGCCTTCGCACCAGGGGTGCAATCTCGTTTTCAGTTGCGGCTCCTGGATTTGGTGATCGTCAAGGGACGCACGCAACCCACTGAGCTTTACCAGCTGGTTTGCGAGAAGGCTGTTTTGCCAGAAGCATTTGACTCACCAGAAGATTTGCAATTCTTTATTGATGCTTATTCTCAGATTCATCGCCTCTATCGGTTGAAGAGCTTCGATGCCTGTGCTAGCGCATTGCACCACTATCGGCAACGGCTCCCTGATGATGTGCCCAGCAAGATGCTACTACGGCGTGTGGAGACCTTGTTGGGCGAAGGGGTGCCAGCAGACTGGACGCCCGTCCATATTCTGACAGAAAAGTAAGCAACCTGTCCAAAGTGACAGCATTGTAGTATAGAGCCACATAGCCACATATCGAGCAACCATGCTTGTCGGTCGTGTGGAGGTGAACATGTCTTAAGCATTTGTAAAGCTTTCTTGCCAGTGGAACATCGCCCAGGGTGGAAGAAACCTTGAGGTCCCAGTCCTGTGCCAGCAACCACGGCAAAAATTGGAGTGTGCTTTCCTTCCTTGCATTGAGACCTTGGTGGCAGATCTGCGGTGGCACTTGCAGGTTCAAGAGGCGATGGTGAGTGAACTGAAACCACTGCCAATTGCTGCAAGATTGCTTTCACTCAGCTGTGCAGGTTCAGACACGTTGGTAGTGTCGGTTTTTGTCGGTTGTTGATGTTTATGAAGGCTTGGCAAAGAAAGCCTTCAGGCCATGAGATCAAAGAGAAATGCACGAAAGCGACGCTGCTTGCTAGTAGGCATTTCTAGCTACAAATTGCAGCACCTAGTAGGGACACTCCGAGCAGCACGCAAAAGAGATCGTGGGAAATCTACACTTCAGGACGTATGTCAAAAGTTTTGACTGACCTCTTGTCATTTCATTTGCTCGCAAGCGAACCCCAAGTGTTTCTGATGCGCCGCAATGGCCGCGCTTTCTCACACGGTGTTGACTTGCGTGGTCCGCTTGCACTCTCAGTGACACAGCGCGAGGGCGGAGCGAAGCCACCTCGCAGGCCTTGTCCGCTGAGAATCAGCGGACTTCAAGAACTGGACGTTTTTTTCCCGGTGGCGGATTAATCTCTCATCCATGATAGCGGGGCAGAGGTTTGGGGAGGCATTGCACGCCCAAGACCTTAAGAAGGTGTTATGCTGTGTTATGCTGCGTTTGTAGTACCGACTCGGGACGGGAAAGGCGAGGGCTACAGGTCTTTTTGAGCACACTCTTCTTGATCCCCCGTCCACTAGCCTGGCTAGGATCCAGTGGGCTTGAGCCCCTGCTGGCTGAAGGGTCTGAAGGATGCCAACCAGACAGTTTGCTACGTGTCAATTTTGGTTGGGTACCTATTGATTTAGCTGTTGGTGGCTAAAATTTTTAGCCAACAGAGACGTTGGGTCCATGGTCGTTTAGCCATGGGTCCCTGTATGCAACACCTGGGGTTGGGCCCAAAACTTTCTGGCTAAATTGTACCTGGCAATTCATTGTACCTTGGGTACCACTTCAATTAGCCAGAGGTTGAGGGACCCAAGGGGATAGTGGGTAGTGGGCCGGGGATCTTCTTGTAGCATGCTTCGGAAACGACAGGCCGCGACCCTCGCAATTCCATGGGGATGTCCCAACCCACGTGGAAGAGGAGGAAGAGGAGGTGGCGCCCCAGGTAGGCTGCCCGAAGGCTCGTCACTTCACATGTGGTCGATGAGTTTGAGAGGGGCAGCATATGCCCATATATGCCCCAATGTGTCCCACGTTCCTGTCTGACACCTTTGTTTTCTCCTTCACACCTTGTTTTGACACTGGATAGCTTCTTTGGAAAGATCATGTCACTCAGCTAAAGCGAAGAACGCAGTCTTTCTCACGACGACGTTCCAAAGGCGGACCGCTGAAGCGAGGCCATCATGGAGCGTACCCTGCGCCTGGTGGCCTTGCTGCGGGAGGCGGAGGAGGTGAAAGCACCAAAGGGTGTCCCTTGTGACGGAAAAGTGGTAAGTTTCTTGGAAGCGCAGCAGGTAAGCCCAGGTGTGCTTTCTGTTTAGATGGCATTTGTGTGACACTTGTGGAGGGTATTGCTGACAAATCTTGCAGAGCAGTTCATACGCATGCTATACCTATGTGTTTCCGCCGGCCTCAGGCTTCGACAATGCATTGGCCTTCCTGCAACGGTACAATCGCTTCTTGAGAGATTTGGGCCCCAAGCTGGCCAGTCCACAGGTGTTCCTTTGTCGAAAGAGTCACAAAGCGACCGTCCACGGCTGGCTATTGCAACCGTTTGGCACTCTTGCTCAGTTTGGGCTTCATTGTTCAATCCTTTTTGGCTAGACTATCACTCCCATACACTGGAAAACAACAGCAGGTCTTCGTACCAAAGTGCATCCCTTGCACAAAGCTGGCAAGGACATTTCACTGGACAGCAGAAGAAAATTTCCAGAGTATTGTGGCAGCTTGGCATCAACCATCATCAACCAGCCCAGAATGCCTGAAAAGAGAGAGAGAGAGAGAAAAAAACAAAGAAAGAAAGATAGGCGTGCGCGCATGCACGCGGCGGGTCTTTGCCAGGGTCGTTTGCACATGAATCGTTTGGCATGAGAGTTCGTAAGTGAAAGAATGCTGAATGCCGTGCCTGTGTTCAGGAGAGCAACCTGAGGGTGCCAAAAGCAGATCCCACCGAAGCGAATGGTGTGAAGAAAAAGCATGGTGCAGCCTTTGGCCGTGGCATTTACACATGCCCAGACTACAAAATGGCGAAAGAGGCCGTTTGAACTGGTTCAATTGGCATCAATCCGTCTCATAGGCACTTGCTGCATACCATGCCCAGGTCCAGGTGCTTCATGAATAAAACTGTCAGTTGTATTTGCTAGATCGCTGCTCGGTTTTTGCTGAGTGGCAGGACTTCTCATACGGAGCCAGCGCCACTTTTGCTTGCCTGGCATTGCCTGGCCGGCAGCTTACTCGCCATCACGGTCAGGACTGCCACCTTGTTATGTCTATATATTATATATTGTTCACAAAGGGTTGTCGGAAATATCCAACGGCATTTCGCTGGCCTTTCACTGCAGATCTTCTAGTAAGTTCTGGCCTACTCGTTTGCAGGGCCATGGTCGTCGAGACAGCCGCGGCCCAGACTTTGACAGCGTGTCCGGGCGATTGCCCGGAAGAAACTGCTGCACCTGGGTTTTTCCAACCAGTGAACCTTTGCAGCACCTGATTCTAGGAGTTTAAGTGTTTTGAAAAAAGTGCATATTGTATCATATTGTTGCCTTTCGTAATAGCCTTTTGTAATAGCCGATTGTGTTTAATTATATAATTGTTTTGAATATCATGCTTTTTCCTTTTGCTTCTCCATGCTCGTCAGCAAGGATCAGATTTTGCCTTGCTTCCTTGTAGATGAAGTGGCGATCCCAGCGGCAGTAGCCAAGCTACGGGAGGCGATCGCACTAATCCAAGAAACCTGGCCAGATCCATCAGAAGCAGAGGCGTCAGCAAAGCTGCTAAACGACGCAGTCGATTCTGCGGTTACACCCTGCACTTTGGAGGTGCCTTGGTGTAGAAAGAGGTCGAGTTCAGAATGAGTTGGCGGGCACTTGTGCTTCAGGCATTGAAAGATGTTTGTTGGACCCAGGCAATGGAGGACACAGGAAGAGAGAGGTGGCGGCGTTCAGAGAGGGAAAGTACTGCGCTGAGCACTGAAAATGCTGAAAAGCTGTTACATGGTTCTGAAGGATGTTAAAGCGCATTGGGAGCAGATGCTTGACATGCTTGCAACTGAGGTGCCTCAAGTGCCCCAAGTGAGCAGGCTGGCGGTTGTACAGGCACTCTTTTGACGTGCCATTCTTCAAATCTGATTGTGGTTCCAGATGTTTCAACTTGCATCATATCAACCATTTCATGGCAACCCTCACAATGACGGATGGATCACGTCACATAGGCCTTTGGCGATGTAGAGTTCTTATCTTCAGGCGTTTTTTCCTAGCCTTAAAACGCTTCGGTGCCTTCGACTGCCCATGCCGAGCATAGACAGGCCTTTATTGGAGAAGGTGACCTGCCGTATGGGGGAGACCTGCAGGCAGCAATGCGAGCGCAGGCCAAGCCTGTATGGTTGGGAGATTTGAGAGTGCTTTATGGAGCAAACTTTGAGAAAACGAAGCACACAATTTTGGGGGAACAAGTGCATCGCTACTAGTAACAAGTGCCTTACTAGTAGTAACAAGAAGCTATTAGAAACAAGTGCATCGCTACTAACCTAAATTGCGGATCTTGCATACAAGACCGAGGTCCAATGGCCCAAAGGATTTCAAAGGTCCACGGAGTGTGTTGCTGCAGGATCGACCTGCAGTCAAGATGCTGATGTCCATGCGTGATCAGAAGAAGGACCAGGCCCAGGCTTTCAAGGTATATAGACGACTCCTTTAATTAGTTTGGGCATGAGAGCCAACAAAAAGTGTGTTATGTTTGGCATTTTGGAAGAGCCAGGCTGTTTTGGCACCAAGTTATATATATATAGTTTATATTGGAGTGCAAAGCTAAGACCAAAGAGCGCGCCTGTTCAACGCAGAAGATGCAGACATTCTGCCGATGCCAAGTCACAGTGCAGGTGACCACCAGAGGTGGCCGACGCTGGGGAGCACGAAAGGCTGAACATCTTCGGAACCTTGGAAGCTAAAGTCAAACTTCAAAAGTCAATGATGGTGTCCAACCAGGCCAGCTCTATTTCTTGGAGTCTCTTGTGCTTCGTGTCAGTCTTCGTGTCCTATGAAGCTTCACCTTCATCCTTGTCCATGTTGAAAATTGCAGTGTAGACAGGAGCAGTGGACATGCCATTGGCCAGTGGCATTTGTTCAGACGAAAGCGCATTCCAAGGCCTGCGCTTGGTGGAATCGCATGGAAAAGCGGGGACCTTCTGCAAGCGACGGAGGACTTCATAGTGCATCAATGCAATTGTGCCGAAGTGACATTTAAATTATGCTGCGACGTGTTGAACATATGGTTGGCGTTATGCTGGATGCCCAGGTGTGTATACTGGCAGAGCACAGGGAATCGCTGCAAGCATTTTTGCTGCTTTTCCGGATGCAGATGTTTACAGAAACCTGGCTTTGCAGCTGTCCAAATCTCCTCTTTGTAGGTTTGTTGGTCTAGGATGCATTCAGGGCAGGCATGCATGCAGCAATTAGTTCAGGCTTTTGCGCTTGTTGATGCGTTGCCATTTCGGTTCAGTGAAGAACGAAGCTATGAACAAGACAAATCCAATAGTGACTTAGTGGCAAGGTGTTGTTTGAAATGACCTGCACAAACGCAACAGAAAAAGGATGCGACGTTGTTCTTTGGCCTGACTAATTCCCTCGCTTAAAACCTGCAGCTTGGTTTTCAGATCGGTTGAGCACAATACATCCTTCCCCCGTTTGCTCTTAATGAGCACTGACTGTTTCAGCTGGTCTTCTCATTCGCAAGATGCCTCCAGGCAGAAGTGCTCGGCATTGACGTGTGAAGCTTGCTTTACATGTCAAGTGGTTCTGCATGTCATCCACAATATGCTAAACAAATACACCAATCATCGGTTCATGCTTCAACCTACAACATTTCCCAATTGACCTACAAGAGCCGTAGGAGCCAACCAACCCCCGAGCGGTTTGCACAAGATACATCGAGAACAACCGTGATAGGGTGAGGCTTGTCGGAGTCGGAACTGGCAGAGATGTTGGCTGATGTTGGTGTTTAATTTTGTTGAAGCTTCATGCTCAAGATTGTGCTTGTCAAGCGAGAGGTTCCTGTACCCAGTGGTTGCATCATCATTGATGACGACTCCCTTCCCTGCAGCCCGGTGGCAGCCAATTTGCATTGCTCCATCAATCAGAGCAGAGACCAGAGATCACCATCACAACCGCATCTTGCGACAGGCTATGCCACCTGATCCCAAGTATCCAGCAGGGCCTCTTCGCTGCACGCAGCGAAGAAAGAATTGTTCCTTCGCGCGCGCCATATTGGGATGTTTGGACGTATTTTGCCCGGCTTGGTTTGTGAACTCAAAATGGCATTTTCTGGACTTGCTTGCGCCCTGTGGTGCGCCAGAATTTGGTGCACTCTGAGGCATCGGCCGCTTGCCACAGAGCAGCTGCAAAGGTTTCTCGCAGACGTCACTTGCTCAGGCATGCGATGTTTGAAGATATGAAGCTCAGACCTACTTGTCTGACCTAAGGCTGTCAACAGCCGTTCTGAGGACACTCGATACGCTTGACATTGCGTTCAATGTATTGTGCTTTCAAAGATTACCTTTAAGGAGGCGCTTCTATAACAGCTTTCCACTCCGCAGGAGCTGACCCCCTTACAGTCTGCCTTTACTAGCCTGTGCCTCAGGCTACAAGACTTGAGGGGCTGGATTGCGCGAATTTGTGTGGAAGTTGAAATGCCATGAAATGCCTTAGGCAAGCGTTTGGACGACACCCAAAACGTAGTCACTGCCTCCACTGTGAAGGAGCTGATGTTTGCCACTTGGAGAGGCACAAAGAAGCAAGACTGTGACATGGATTGTATGGTGCCGGGCTATTGGTTCACACTGTCCGTAAGAATCTGAGTGTGTGGCATTCCTCGGATTCTGAGGATGGTCGAAGGGTTTCACCAGCTTTGCGCTTGGTAAAGGATCCTGGATCGCACTGGCTGGTAGGAAGCTTTACCTTCAGATGCCTTGGAAGCAATTTGCAATTTCATCAGTGGCAACCAGGATGCTTTGTGCAGATATAGCGGCACTGCATCACCACCGTCGAAGCCAGGAACGCAACACAATTAACAAAAGACTGATGCAGAGAAACCTGTCCACCTTGAAACTCATAGAGCTTTCATTCAGCCTCTAAGCATCGAAACAAAAAGACAAAAAAGATAAAACAATGGGAAGAGCCTCTTTAAAGGGGTGCTTCTCTTCTTAAGATTATTTCTTCCCTCTCTTTATGGTTTTATCATGTTTTATCAATTTTGAGTCCGGGATGGCGACACTTTTGAGTCCCACGAGGCGGATCGGGACGTGTGTTGCAGGACGAAAGCCCGACCCAAGCGTGGACCGGGAACGTTTGGCGCGAGCTCGAAGATTGCTGTATCCCAGCCCAGAGCTTTCGCAAGCAGACCCACTACCATCCAAGGACTGCCTGTGAAGCCGAACTCGGGGTTTAATCAGAAGTCTGCATGCAATGTCCAGCAACACATATTTGCATATGTTGGCACACTATACGCATGTCCCAAATTGTTTGCAAGCACATTGACTGTCCTCCCAATAGATATATATGTAAATCCTGGAGCACCCCGTTGTATGACAACATACTGTAGTTTGAGTGTCAACATGTATTTCAACAAAGAGATGCAACGGAACCGGTACGATCGTGAACCTATACATATTTAAACACCTCAGGTTCCCCAAGAGGCGAGCTTATGGATCAAAAAGGAATAGCTCCTAGTAGCGATGGCTTCCAACCTAATAGCGTCCTTGTTACTAGCTTTTTGTTCCTGGGCATGTCCTCAAGCAAGGTGCTTTCTTTTGGTGTTCAGAAAAATCTATTTTCAAGGACTCCACCCGTGCAACATCCTCACGAAGCACCAGCGCTGGTCCTTCAGTTGCCACACCTTTGTTGCTGGCAACGAGTCGTCCCTTTGGCAACTGCAGCTGTGGCATGTTATATAGCCATCCTGAAGTGGATAGAAGGTGGGACGTTTCAATCATATCACTGCCTTCGCCCTGGCTTCAGAAAGACCTGTTTAAACCGTTGTTTCCCAAAATCTAGGAACCAAATGAATATTGCAAGGTCCCGCACGTCGTCAGGGGCCTGGAAAAAGCGTGAGCTTTCCTGCATGCCAGCTACTAGTAGCTTCCCGGGTCCTAGAGGTCCTACTCCTCAGTCCCGGCCTATCCCCCTCCGGTGGTCTAAAAAGGAAAAAAATAAACAATCAAGTAAGTAAACCTTTCTCCCTTTCCATTTGGCTTGGGGTGTTGGGTTTGCAACCACCTTGCTGGGTGACGAATCTTCCTCCAAGGTCCCATGACCAGCGGCAACACTCTTCCACACCCATGGCAGGCGCTTAAGACGACAGCTGAGGATGGTCACCTAGGTTCTCTGAAACAGAACGCTACTAGAAGCAAGGACGCTACTAGGGGCTCCTGGCATCACTACTAGGAGCAGGACGCTACTACGGGCTCCTGGCATCGCTACTAAGAGCAGGACGCTACTAGGGGCTCCTGGCATCGCTACTAGGAGCAGGA